AAGAATATTTTCAAAGCTTGATCTCTCTGGAGCATATTTACAAATTCAGACTGAAAATGAATGTTATGAATTAACGATCATAAATACGCACAGATGATTATATAAGTTTGACCAAATTCCTTTTGGTATAAAGATGGCACCAGCTATTTTTCAGCAAGTGTGGCGTATCTGGACGATATTTTGAGCAAAAATATATCGAAAGAACATGTTGGGCATGTGATAACAATTTTGAGAAAAACTAAGAGAATACGAATTCAAACTTAGTGAAGAAAAATGTCAAGTTGCTTTTGCAGAAAATTAAATACTTTGGCCAAATTATTAATAAATATCGTAGGCAACCAGATCCATCGAGGGCAACTGCAATTAAAAAATATGCCTACACCAACAAATGTGACTACGTTACAAGTTATTTTAGGAGTGGCTAATTACTATGAAATTTATGTATATAGTATGTATAAAGGGAACGACTTAACGATCTACTTAAAAAAGGAGTAAAGTGGAATTGGAATGATAAATGTCAAAAGTGGTTTGATGAAATAAAAAAAAGACGTCTGATTTATCATTAGCACACTACAACCCAAAAGCAGAAATTACAGTGGCGTCAGATGCTAGTGAGTACGGTATTGGATGGCGGTAAAATGAAAGCCTTCGCTCATGCTTCACAATCTCTTCTACCAGAAGAGAAAAAATTACAGCCCGATAGAAAATTAAACTATAGCAATTATATTCGCTGAAGAAATTTCAAGTTCCAAACAGACCATAGACCTTTATTAACAATATATGGTTCAAAGAAAGGCATGCCTACTCATACAGCTAATAGACTACAACGCTGGGGTACCATCATATGAAAGTATGATTTTAAGGTGGAGTACGGATCATCTAAAAGATTAGGACATGCGGATGGATTATCTAGATTAATACATAAAAATGCGGAATCATTCGAGGACATGGTCATCGCAACACTAAAAAGCGAAATGGAAATAAATATTTTGTGCAACGTCGTACGAGAGTTATCAGTGACCCTGAATGAAAAAGAAAAAAATGACATCTTTATTGCGAAAATAAAAAAGCAATTGACAGAAAAGTAATAAAAAAATTGATATCCAGACTTAAACGCGTGCTCGATATGCGATGGTGTACGATCAAAGAGTTGTAATACCGAGTGTGTTACAGAAACAAATATTAAAAGGATTTTCATTGCGGACATCCAGGTATTTCTAGAATTAAATCTCTGATGGGACGTTTCACATATTGGACTAGAATAAACCAAGATATTGAAAGAATAGTGAAAGCATGTGGAAGTTGTGCTCTAGCAGCAAAACTACCTATCACAAAGACAGACACGCATAGTCAAGACTGCCTATAGATTTTGCAGATCCTATCAATGCATCATATTATCATGGTAGTTGATAGTTTCACAAAATGGACGAAAATTTACAAGTGCAAAAATTCAACATCCTAGTACTAGTAACTGTGAATTTCTTGCATGAACTGTTTGCAAGATATGGCATAACAAATACCATAGTATCTGAAAACGGGACGCAATTCACGGGTAAAGAATTCCAAGATTTTTGTAAGATGTTCTCCACTGAACATATTACGACCCCGCCGTATGACCCAAGGTCTCACGGACAAGCTGTTTGTGAGACCGTTCAAAAGAGCATTGAATAAAGCAAGTACTGAGGAAGTAAACGACGATGCACTTTAAAATCTTCTGAGTGTTTACCGGGTAACACTTGACCCCAATACACCATCAGGCGCCGGCGGAATTGATGTTTGCCAAATCAGTGTTCGATAAGTTGTTACCAAGTCGAAAAACACGAACAAAAGCGACACCAAAATTTTAAAGATCGGCAATAAAGTGTTCTTTCGAGCATATAAGAATGGCAAAGTAACACGGGAAGATGGCATAATATCAGCAAGAATTGGGAAACTGATTTACAGAGAAAGAGAAAAATTCGAACATAAAAGAAAAAATCAACTGAAAAAAGATTCCGTGATGAATGACCTGTAATATTGGAAGAACCAATAAAAATGCTATATGACGGTTTCGATGTGCCTGTACCATAACAAGTCGTGGAACCTACAAAATTACGTTCTAGAAAAAGAAAGAGTGCTGAAGTGGATTCGAGACGAAAACGCTATAAAGACAAGTACGATGGCAAACTCTCTAGAAAGATGAGGGGAGAGATTCTAATACTAATAAAAAAATAAAATGTTTCTAAAAGTATTAATCTTAAAAGTGGGGCGGATGTTGTGGAGTAGTAGATCCCTCATGACTATATGAACTAGTCTATTACTATAAAGAGCTCCAGATCAGGGGTAAAACTGGTTGCTGTTATAAGAGTCGGGGAGTTTGTTGTCTGACTTGCGACTGTCTTCGTGCAGAGGGCGACAGTCGAGGTTCTGTCTACGAATAAAAATTTGTCTGAGAAAAAAAAAAGACAAACAAAAGTAACCGTTCCCCGCATTTGTGGGGAATGAGTAAATTTTGGACTAGTTGCTCAAGTATTCACGCTCGGATTCCCCACGTAAGACCTGACCTTGTGTTGCATCCCGTCTAAATCGGTTTGTGGGTCGTTTGGTGAGTCTTCAGATTTTCAATGCAGGCGTCACGGTAGAGTAGCCGAAGCAATACATATAGAGTATCCTTATACAACGTATGTTATATAAGTAATAGTGTGTAATAAATAATAGCCATAAAATAGTGACGTTATTATAGACAGATAAGGGATTACTCTCTAAATTTAAGAAAATTAAACCATAGAATTTAGCAACATTTAGAAAAGTGTTTGTTCGACATTCCAAAACAAACACCAAAAGAAGACCGAAGAGTACTACAATCGAAACTTTGTAGCAGTAGTAGTAGTAATGATAAAAGAAATTTATCTAAACCAATGTATCTCAACTTTTTTAAGCAACGGCACACCGAGGAGTAAATGAAAATATCACAGTACACTTTTTTTTTAAAGGGTATACATTTAAAACTATAAATGTTGAATACAATTATATAAAAAAAAAAAAAAATAATATTCATAATTCATTTATTCAAATAAAAGGAAAATTTTAAAAAGTAAAATTTAAAAAAAATAAATAATATTTTTTTAAAATGAATATTAAAACAAAGTATTTAAAATACCATAATCAAAGAATAGTGAAAAGAAGTATTTAAAAAAAGTTTAATACTTATTCATTTATTCAAATAACACTGTATCATTACTACTTCCACAAATACATATGCTGTGACAATACTACGCGACACAGTGATTTAAAATCACTCATCTAACAGCAATAAGACACATCTTAAAAAAAAAAAAAAAAATCAAATTTTTTTTTCAAGCAAATGTATTAATGAGCTTTTAATGCATATATACACGAGAGTGGATCAATAAATTTGTAACCAGGACCATAATTAGCTGAATTTTTATCTGAAATATTCACTGTATAATGTTGTTGTTGTTGTTCTTAATCAGCCTATGAAAGTCTTTTGTTGGCCTTCCCATATCTTTCCATCATTGGCATTCAGGGGAAGAGGGTAATTACCCTAGAGCGCTAGCCTAATGCGTGTTGGTAGGGGGTCGTACGACATGATATTCCCAAGTGGTCACCCATCAAGGTACTGACCAGTCTCAACGTCGTGATTGAACGAGAGTCGGTGTTTCAATGTAATATGGCCGTAAGACGTATAATGTTCAATCTCTATGTCAATATACAAGCGTTGGATTAAGTGCATTAACAATTATATGGAGGGGAGGATAAAAAATGTGTGTTAAATGCTTTCTCCATCACTAGGCTACGGAGTAATTGACTTAACTACTTAATAACCACAATATGTAAGATATCATTTCAAGGATATATACACACACACACACACACACACAAGGGTAACTCAAAATTTATCCGCACTTTCGCCATAACATATCTTCAGACAAGAGTGCGGATAATTTTCACTTTCCCTTGTATGTATATATGTATGCATGTATGTAGGTAACTTCATGAGATCGCTACAAAAGAGCATAGCATGATGAAAAGGATGCCAAACTTGACGAAAACAAAATGTTAGCGTCTAAATGTTTGTTATTATTAAGAGGAATGAACAACGTATTTTTTATTTATTTTTAAAAGATTTTCCCTCTTGTTAGAGAACATTCTAAATTTTAATTGAAAAACCTTGTTTCTCTTTGTGCCCAGCGTAACTACTAAGTAACATACAAAATTTTAATGTTTTTTTTTTCTGTATGACAAACATTAATTTTGAAAATCTTGCAAAAATATCTGTTTGAAAATCTTTTAAAAATCAATTATAAGTTTTCAAAACTTATTTTAAGAAAATCAAAAATTATGTTTATTTAAAATATTTTGAAACAAGCATTACTTAGTTTCTGCGCCGAAAAGTTGTAGTTTGAAAATAAAACAAAGCAGGTCATAACATTTCGCGTCACTTGACAGGTGACAAAAGACATTTTCATGACCTGTATGGATAGATAGATATTAGAATGGATTTTTTATTAATGCAACAAATTTTATCACTTTAATTAAACGTTATTTTTAGTGTTTATTCGTATTTGTATTGACGCTCAGTTTATTTATTAAACAATATATTTATTTATATTCGTCTACCGACCTAAATGTTCGGGAAATTTTATTAAATAAATATTTGTGCTCTCCGATTCTACTGTTATGTCAACACTCCGTTAATACAGTGGAATGTCTTTCCTGAATATTTAACAAGTGGCAAGTCAAATTTTCATGATTAGTCAGCTTTCTGAATGCCTCTGTCATGTACAACAAGGAGTTCCTAGTTTTAGTCGTAATATTTGTATGAATTGCAAGCCCATGACCGTAAAATAAAGACTATCTGTAATAATTATGACAGAAACGCACACAATGATCACAGTAATCTTGTTCATTGTTTGGTATGTTAAAAACAACTAAGAGTCAGCTTGTTCATAAATTGTTTCAAGCGATCACACTGAATATAAAATGCAAGTTTGCAGGCTTACGGCCACATCACGTTGAAACATTGGTATCACCGAAGTTAAGTAACGTCGAGCCTGATCAGTACCTAGATGGGTGACCACTTGGGAATACATGGTGCTGTAAGTTTGGATGTGGGGGAAGTGTAATAGATAATTTAAATTGTTAGTTTACCGTGCAAATATTCTTGGGAAAGGTAGGACTCCACCTCTTATCCTTCAACTATAGTATCATGAAATCATCTCAAAAAACAAACTTACAATCTAAAAATATTTTCTGGCTTTAAATAACCTGCAAATGGTTGATAAACCATAAAAAAACAAGTCAATCTATTTATGCATATTGTAATTTTTGAAACTTATAAACTTATTTTTAGAATATGCCTTTTGATTCAATTTTTCAAAATAAAGCATTTTGTTCTGTAAGTTGTCAAAAGAACACTGAAAGCAAGATATATAACAATAAAATTAAGAACTAATATATGAGAAAGATGAAATGCACATCAAACATGGATTAGAATCCAACAGCATGATAAAATAAAGAACAAATAGGAAAAATATATCAATCTAACATTTTTCACTTTTATTAAATCTTCGTCAGTGTTTGAGAGAAAACAGACAAAACTTTGCTATTTTCAATTTTGTTTTAAACCATAGATAATTCTATATGTATATAAGTTTGTAAAGATTCTTGTATGCCTAAGCAGGTATCAAATGGTCATAATTGGGTATGTGTGTGTCTGTCTAGCAGGAGTTCTAATGTCTTGATCTTCATACGGTCAGCCAGCGCAGCAGGGTGCCACTTCATTCTAATCTCTTTAAGCATGTATTCTTTGTATTAAATAGATATAAGTTAGATTCTTTAAGAATGGATTCAAAGAAAGATGGTTATGTGATGTAATGTTGTAGGTGTGGGTTTATAGTTGGTAATAACATTAAGGTTTCAAAGTATTTTCTCCTTAAAGAATTATGTTCTTCTTTTTTCTTTTTTTTTTTAATTAGGATGGCATTAGTAAAACCAAAGTTATGTCCAGCATTGTTACAATGCAAAACAAGGGAGATCATTTGTTTAAATGCAAGTCTCTCGTGTGTTCAGAGATGTGGGCTTTCAGATCATGTGATGTTTCTCACACAGACATTTTTGCATTGTAAACAATTTATTATATATTTTAAATGTGGTGTTTGGAAAGCTCCACAGTATTAAATGCTGTGACAATCCTTCATGATATCAATGCAGAGTTAACTGATCAACCAGGTAGGTAATATATGCTTTGTTAAGAAAGATATTGTCACTAAAAATTAACTTGCTAAGCAACTTTTGAATGTTCACTACTTAGTCAAATGAAGCATTAAACCTATTTCAGATTCTTAATATCAAATGATTTCATATTTGTATTTAAGTTGATGTGAGACTTAAGCAAAATGACCTCCTGAACGGTGAATAGGTTCCTCTCTATTTATACTGTGTATTCCTTTTTCTCTGGTTTACAGATTAAACCAGAGAACGAGGAACAAACAGTATAAATAGAAAGGAACCCATTTCAGGGAGGTCATTAATGTGGCGTTCATACAAATACCTAGCCATTGTTGTGTACAAGCAAAGAATGGCTCCATATTCTGGTTGTAATAAAAGAGAAGCAGCTAACATTAAATAAGGTTTTCTTCTTCATAGAGGGGCTGTATATTGAAGTGTGTGGGTTTGTAAACAAAACAAAAACATCATGTAAAAATATGAGTTTGTTTATACGATGTCACCTTGAGTGACTTGAAATTGGTTCCATCAAATGTGAGAATGCTGGAATTAAAAAAAAAAGTTTTGTAAATATACACAGAACAACTTTTGAGGATGAATGTAGCAACATTCAAAAGTACTTGGGAAGAAAATAATATAAAATAAAAATAATTATGAACTGGCAAATTTAGCGATAAAAACAAAAAAAAAAAATCCCTAATTCAGCAATTTTAAGAATTAAATAAAAAAAATTGATCGACAGAAATTGTCCCTATTATTTAACCAAACATGTTTTAACTATATATATATATATATATATATATAATTTAAAGAAAAACACTCCACTTTAAGGCTCAATTTGTTATAATTTATTTCAGAGAATTTTATTTTTCTCTGGATCTCAATACTTCACTTCACAGTGAAATGAAAAATGAATTTAAAATTTACACTTTTGACAGGCAGTATTAAGCTTATATAAGTTGACATAGAGGGTGGTGAGGGATAGTGTGAGAGACATGGTCGAGTTTAGAGAGGGAAGGGAGAGTTTTAAAATTTATTTTTATTACAATACTTAATATTGAGGTGGACATACCCAGTTCTATAACCATCTAAATCACCCACCAAATAAACAGATATTTGTTGCATAGAGTCAATCTTAGTGTTTTCATCAGTGCTGACCAACAAAGTCTCAAAGAAGAATGTTATCAATAGGGCACAGTTTCTTTTGGATCCCCTTGCTTTCTCCAGGTGTCATTCCGTTTTTATTCACAATGGAAAATAACAGAAATATAGCACTAACATAAAATATCAGTTTTTCATATATAGCCCCTAAAATGAAATTAATTATCTTAACCATTTTTTACTGCTTTTCAACAGTATGGTTGATGCTAACCTCCATTGGAAAATCTAATATATATGCGTGTGTGTGAAAAATGATGAAAATATAGTTTAAATGTGCTATATTTTTTTGGTAAATGTGCTCTCTCTCTCTCTCTCTATATATATATATATATATATATATATATATATATATATATATATATATATGTGTGTGTGAGAGAGATTAAAACAAAACATGTTAAAATTGCTGCACAATAGCTTTCATATTTCAGCACTAATCTCATACAATAAATAATATTAAGCTCTACTCTGTATTGAGCCATTTCTTAAAATTAAATGCTACAGTGGAATTATACTCCATTTGAGTTTATATATATATATATATATATATATATATCTCAAATAAAGATTTTTTTTTTTGCCAAAAATAAGTCAACCAGGGTATTTCTGCAAAACATTATTAAAGCAAGCCATCTTTGTAATTAGAGCATTTGATATCAAAAGATAGAGCATTAATAGAAATAAATAAATGTTCACACATCTTGTCACTAATACAGCGTTTCTCAAGCACTGTCCACCAGAATTCCGCAAGAGTTTGTCTGTGGTTCTACAAGAATTGGTGATAAATAGGCTAATGGATTTTTGTGTCATTTTTGTTTTATTTCCTAATTTTACTTTAAAAGTACAGTATATTGTTAGAAAATCCTTGATTATTATAATAAAGGCTTAAATCTCTTATATCATTTAAAATTATAAACAACATTAGGGAATGTATTTTGCGATGTCTATGTGGTTTGTTTTTTTTTTTTTTATGAAAATTTATACAGAGGTTCCCTGAGACAAGAAAACGATTTCATGGGTTCCACAAAGGTAAAATGTTGAGAAATTTATTTTTCTCTCTCCCTCTCTCTCATACACACACAGAGTGGATTTTTAAGATTTCTGTGCTAGGGGCATGGATTGAAACCACAAATTGACAGATTCAAATTTTTATAATATTGATCTTTATTATATTCTTTGCTATTCAGAAGGCCAGTGTCTACAACAGCTGAAACATTGTGAGTTTAACATATGAAATACGCATGCTGGTCTAAGTGGCAATGGTAATTCCTCATCTCAATAATTCTGACAAAAGAAATGAATCTTTCTACAAACTACAATTCTATAGTGCATTTTCTTTTTTAGTTAAATGATCTTAAAAAAGAGAGAAGTGATAAAATTCTGAAGCATCTATGGGCAGAGTGAATGAGGGTTTAGACAATTTACAGGTTCTTTGTATGAATTTATGTTAAGAACACTTACATTTGCTTTTGATGCATCCCTGAGCCATTGTTCAAAGAAAAAAGTAAAACCATGATTTTAATAACTATTACTCAAAATAAGCAGACCCACCCCCACTCAGTCTATCCACAGGTGAGACTAAATAAAGCTTAAGAAAGATCTATATAGGCTGTGACAAAAAGGACATTAAAAAAAGTATGTCATGATTTTGAACTAAGCAATTCTTTCAGGCCTTCTTTAACACTCTGCACACATAAAAGTACCAAACCTGATAATATAAAATCCCACTACCATCATTTAAATTTAATATTACAGTATTATGACAGAAGGCTAAGCAAAAGTCCTGATACTTTATACTGAATACAAGTGCCATCTGGAAGAGTCATGCTGGGAGGAATGTTTCAACTTTTAAAATCTTAAAACTTTTTTTGCCTTCAAACAGCATGGCTGATCCTAACCTCCAAGAGAGTGACTTGTTGCACCTTTTTGGGCTAACATTTTCCACTGACATGAAGTGGGAAGATTATATTGAATCAATTGCTAGATCTGCTGCTAGAAAAGACGGTTCACTGTGCTAGACAATATTTCTCACCGGAATTTATCCTGCATATTTATAAGTCTACCATTCATCCATGCATTGAATATTGCTGCCATGTCTGGTCTGGTGCTCCTAATATATATTTAGAGATTCTTCAAAACTTTAAATATAATGTAATATCATTATCTTCTGTCTTCTTAACTGCTATTCTTTCAGTGTTCTCTCACTCTCATTAACCCCCCCTTGCATCTTAGTGGCTTTATTGTTGCCTTGCTTGGAGTGAAATGATTAAAAAAAAAATCTTAAAGTATGCGTATCTGTTCAAATAAGAGTGTATATTTTCAGCCATGGCATAATTCCCAGAACAAAATAATCTTGCTGTAGAAAAAATTAAAAAGATGTAATAAGCGTGCTGTTCCAAACAAGCAAAATTCCTGGGGTGAGATGGATGGGAGGTGCTGAAGAAAATAAATTAATCATGTCAGTACCTGTATTTGGTTCACAAAGCTGTCTGAGTAAACAATGTACCAGATATCTTATCTTATCTTCGCATCTAAAACCTGGGAGATTGGGGGGAGGGAGTGTCTTATATGCCATCTAATATATTAGTTTTTATACACAATTTCATTGCATTAGATACAGGTTTAGGAGGCATATAATTTTAACTTAAAGAAATGCCATTTTAATTGGAAGGGAAAGTAATTTATTAAGACAAAATTGTATTGAAAGTGCATAA